TCGAAGAATAGTGACATCTATAGCAGCGGCTGTGCAAATGGTCCGATGTATACTTTGGGACTCGAGGACAACGTCAGTGTTCATGATGCGTGGGCTTGGATCCAGTCACGTTCCTTCCCCTGGAAGTGATTTTTGTAAAACATAGTAACCGCCTGTGTTGCCTGATGGAGTGTTGCAAGCGTTTCTTTGACGATGAAGATCGCGCAGTCGAATGGACTTTTCTAAAGACGAGCAACAGTATAGGGCCCACTTCGTCGACTGGCTCCAGCTCTCTGGTCTGAACGCGAGGGCTAAGCAAATATTTATAAGATGTTAGCTAGCAACTTCTGTGTCATTGGTTCTTTCCTTTCGAACACTTGCTTTGACGTCTACCGTTGTCCATGAAACAAGCCCTAAAAACTATTACTTTATTTCAACTGCCATCTTAGACATTATTTTACGCTATCTAAGAAAAAAAATAGATTGGAATGCGATAATCAACATTTGTCAGCCTACGAACTCGCGGTATCGCCTGATAAGAATGATGCCTCTAGCCATTTGATTAGGAAGTTGAATATGTTTATGTTGTACTTTTAGCATAATATGACATGGGGTCCACAGTGGCGTTCATTCGACTGATCTCTGTGTTCCCCGGAAGCCACCAAAATAGTAGTTGCATTGATGGATCCGAAAAGTTCATAATAGAATGTGTGGAAACTCGCACGACGTCGTGTCTTGCACTTATGTTTTGCAAAATATTGTCACTTTTCGGACGTTTGCTTATCAGAAACAAACGTACCCACTTTATAGCTATTAAAGGTTGGTAACCGCACACTTTATTTTGCGGAATATACTCTTCCGATGACACCTCAGTATTAATTTACTGGGAGGAAATCTAACTGTGCTGGTAATACAGTTGATAATTATTCGCGACGTTTAAGTTGAATTAAGCTTACTTTTCCTCTGCATTACTGTTACCATTACATGATTCTTGCCCTAAGGTTTTGATCACGTCCTGGATTTCTTATACTGTCAGTGACGTTAGACCAGGCAGCAAATACAGCACAAGTGAATATACAACTATTTCCGCGAACTTCCATGCTGTATATTGATTTAAACGTCGAGGGACGTATTTAGTTAAATACAGACTATTTTCTTTCAAGTTTAAGTCACGCACAGCTTTGTTTTACACATCACAAAAACCAGAAAGCGCAAAGAACAATGTCAACTGGTAGAGCAAGACAGGACAAGCGCACGTGTCCTTCGCGCTTTTTGATTTTCGCGATTTGTAACCGACTATAATCCAGCAGTTAATTTTGTTTCGTTTTTCAGCTAAAGATGCTCTCCACAAGGCTTGGGAACATGTGTCTTGGCTGAAAGATTGGATAAGTAAGTTTAAGTTCCTCTTTTGGTGTCAAAGTTTTCGGAAAGAATGATGTTGGCAGAACGATCTCAACCAGATTTAGTTACTTCTCGCTGACCATTTTGTTATTCAATTTAAGAGCGCGAGAATAGGTACGGCCTGCAACAGTATGAAAGACCCATTCGACAAGGCAGTTTTAGGCAGCTGTGCGGAATTACTGTGGCCTGACCAACATTGCTTGAGGCGAAAAATGAATGAACCTTTGTTCTATTATTTCTCTAAAAATAAAGTGCCTCTGGCCTAGGTGTGCTTAGCAGCGCCGCCGCACAAACTGCCTCATCGATTGGGTCTTTCACATTGATTGGGACTGTACGCTTTGATATCCTTAACAATATTATTACTCATCAAGACACCAAGCGTTTACGTTGAAGTAACTTCTTCTATTCATCCATGCCAACATAAAATTGAGTGTATAGGTGTTACAATACTGTCTGAAGTCTGTCTGATGTGGACAATAGCTACTTCTTTACTCGCTGGGGAGGTGTAACTTCTGATCGTAACAATCACATACTTTCATTGTTACAGGAAAAGAAGAGAAGGCCACCCCAGTTGTATTGCGGTAGGCCTTGAGAAGCGAATAAACTGCTACGATCTTATCCCGCTGTTCTGATTGGTGGTTTACTTATAATAGGGAGACAAATGCCACATCGGCACATCAGACAATCGACTTTGCAAACTGCAGGCCTCTCTGTATTTTTTGTTTATTTGAAATTCTGCCAATCCTTTTGGGTTATTGCAGGAGGAGGTGCAATAAAATACACAAAGATACGTACACAAACTTTACACATTTGATAATCATAAATACAATGCTGCTGAGAGTGACAATAGAAAGATGGAGCTAATCATGAGTAAACCAATCTATCAACCTTTCCTCAAATGTTCCAACAGAAGAGACGCCGGAACGAACACTTGAAGGCAGCCTATTCCATTCTTCAATGGTCTTCAGAAAGAAGGAGTATTTATAGATGTCAATGGTGGGTATACAAGGATCAACTGAAAAATCATTGTTTAAGCGTCGGGGCGTCTACCAGGAGGTCTTATGTATTTTTGCGTGTCTATGTTAAAATGGTTAAAAGATATAGCCATCTTTTTATATAGCGAAATATATATAGCGATATAGCCATACACAGAAACGTGTATCATGGGGTCTGTCCCAGTGGAACGGTATCATTTTGTGTAAATATCGACCTAAAACAGCGAAAATTTCTCCCATCGTCGCAGCCATACCCTAATGTAAAATCTTGTATGCATAAGAAATTCGTCGGTCCAATGAACGCGCACGATCAAAGAAGATCGTACAAGAAGATATAAGAACCATACAAGTATATTAAAGTTAGAAGAAACTGATAAAAACGTTTTCTATAACGTTTTGAATAATCTTATATTGTTCTTACATCTTCTTATACGGTTCTCATATCCTCTTATAGGATCTTATTTGATAACGTGCGTTTATTGGACCAATACATTTTTTACACATATAGGATTTCTTACGAGGGTAGTCACTGACAGCGTAAGAAACGAGGGATGTGGTCTAATATTTTCACGCCCCTCTACTTCGTTATAGGTTCTTGGGCGTTCTTATAAGCCGATGCCTGCGGACCGGCTATACCCTCTGAAATGGGTGGTAGTTTGCGCCACCTAGCCCAAGTCTAAAAAGACAAACCTATGATTCCTCACGCTCTTCTAAGCTAATTTTCTCCCCCTTAACTATCACCAGGCAGTGTGGTATATCGCCAGGATGTGACGTTATTTGTTGCCAGACACGTCCCCATTTTGTGCTTTCTCCTCCTTTCCATCGCTACACACTGCCGGAAACGCACGATAGAAGAAACCGTGCCGGAAGGCTGCGGACAATATATGACGCAAAAAAGCGCAACTGCCAATATAACAAACCTTTTTTTTTTAAAGCACGGCGTTAGAAGTTATTGCGTCTATCAGCCGAGGCTGCCATGCTTTTGGGCATCCAGTGTGAGCATGTATTCGTCAGGAGTGCTCTATCAGCATCATGCGTGGACTTGGTTGTGCGATTTATAGCTACAGGATCTTCTAAAGCTTACAAAAAGAGCACTGAAATATTGGATCTGTGCATAGGTCTTATGTAAAAGACGTAATTAAAAAAAAATAAAGCTACGTTTGTTTTGTATAAATAATTTTAAGGTATAGGTCCCATATTTGTTAGGCATAATTAAAAAGAAAAACAAAATTGACTACACTTGTTACCAGGAAAGCTCGACCGGACTCCAAGGTTTGTTTCAACTAGCGTTCTTTGGAAGTACACGCTGAACCTCTGACTTATTGCCGCGTCGTGTTGTTATTTTAGAAATTAAAACCAATTCCGATATGTATATGATAGTAAACTTGGAAATTTATAATATGTATATGGGAGGAATTTGCATTATAAAATTAAGGTGAGGCAGCTGAAAAAAAAGTGAAGTGCTTCAGTCTGTTTCCGCGTTAACATTGCAGACCTGATCCAATTAAAAATAAGTGAACATGCTAAGAACCAATAGTAAGTTTGCTTAGAAAAGCCAAAATTGAAAAAAAAAAGAAGAGAAAATCCTGGTGAAACTAGCCAAGCGAGCGGGCCCGATAATCAGAGGATGTTATTTAATTAAGTTGGGCTCGATTACACACAACGTACTCTGTGTTTGGGAGAAAGATGAATAGTGTTTATCTCACCACAAAAATATGAATTACGGATAGCCGAACACTTTGTTTCCGACCAAATGTACCGCTAGAGTTCTGATTTAGATTCTAAAAATTTCAGAGCGAAGTCTTACCTATACTAGTTTAAAAGTTATCAGCGATTTTCAGAAATTTGAAATGAGCAAACGGGGCGCGGTGCCGATTGCGTTCACCTACAATTGCTATGTATTTGCGGGCTCCGTCGGTCACCATTTCCCCATAAAAAATTTCCGAACATGTAAACTTTTGAGTTAGGTAAAAATAAGTTTTGAAACATTGGCACGTGGTCCCAACCTCTGGTACTACATTTGCACAGAGGTTGAGGGTTTGATCACCGCGACATACTCAATAAGTTTGCGCCATTAGAGGATAAAAGCACCGAAGAACGAGTACCAAAGCAAGGAGCGGAAACATTATAAGCCACACCTTGAGATTCTTGTGATGTCAGCGACTATAATGAATAATTTTCTAAAAAAGAAATGGCAGATGCATGACGTGCGGAGTGGTTTATTTCCGAGTTCTGATTAGCACATTATTTGCTTTCTTTTCCTCGTGTGACGCCCGTCCCCGGCAGAGTCTGAAAACACCTGCTACTCCTCAAGTACGCTCGCTCGTGTTCCAGAAACACTTGCTTCTCCCAGCTTTGGCGTTCAGCGTAATTTCGCCTCCCCCCTCCGCAAGCTGCTGCTACCGCTGCTAAAGTCAGGAGGTATGGCCATGGTTTTTTTCTTTGGGCCGTATTTGTTAGGTAATTACAATTATACGACTTTTCCCGTGAGCAATCAAGTTCATCCTTCGTTTCGCGGGGCTTTATGCGCATGTTCTTAGTCGAGGAGGTCCTTTGCCTCCATATTTCATTCGTCGTGATGGGTTTTACGAAGCAGACGATTGGTGCGTGTGTTTCTGCAGGAACTGGAAGCAGACGATGGCTGGATCTGGTCGTCGGCTTGTGGTGTTTTTGATGTTGCCAGCCCTCATCTGCGGTTACGCTAAGTCTGGTGGATTTAGAGGTAAGCATTTTGTTTGTCATGTTTTATATGACGTTATTAAACACAATACAAATATTTAGAATACACTAAAACCTGAAGTGTAAAAGCATACATTTTAAGTATATGTCGAGTGTACCGTGTAGTACTTTTTATATCCGGAGTGTAATTTTGAAATGTATTTGTATAGTTCAGTGATTTCGAGATTCGCCATGCGTGAATCTGTAGCCGATACGGTCTGGCTCGGAACAAAATTTAGCATACTATTAGGAAACTCAAAATATACTTAAGCACACTTTCTAAAGTATACTAAGTATAATGGTTTGTTTCATCAACGTGCACTATTAGTTACTCCCCTATATATATCTTTGTTAAGGAGTGAGTAAAACTAACTTTATTGCTAGTTTTTCGAGTTTTAAGTGGCCAGTATGCTACACAAGTTACAACGCAATCTTTCATCATAGCATTCACAGTTCTCGCACATATATATTTAGTGTTTTTCTCCTGAATAATTAGTTTCTGGCACGAACTTTACTACCATTACGCACCCTAAAAAATGTAAAGACCTTTTTAAATTTACTACTATATTACTTAATATTACTTAAGTGACTGTTGCTCTACCGTTCAACAAGCCGTTCAGCCTACAAATATTAAAATCAACTGTCATAACCTTTTGTCTGGTATTAGAGTAGATATCAAACAAAATCGCTAAAGCTACAAAGAAGTTAAAACCAAAAACATTTTCTACTGGAGCTGACTCCATTCGATGTTTTATTAATAAGGGTTGTGGTGAATTGTGTTTGCCTATTTTAAAGCCCATCTTTAACCTCTCTCTTATTTCCGGTGTTTTCCCATCGCTTTGGAACGCGATGATGGTACCGACTTTCAAAGGTGGTGACGCTTCTGTTACTAATAACTTTCGTCCCAACCCTTTATTGTCTGGATTTTTCAAGGTATTTGCACACGTTATGCATAACCGAATACATTTTTACTTCCACCAAAAAATTGAAGCTTGCCAGCATGGTTTCCTGACCGGACGGTCAGTTTGAACTAATTTGTGCATAGATAGAATTAGGAGAACATCTTGGTTAAACATCTTGGTATGCTAAAGCAAAAGGAGACAAGGGACACAAAACAGACGTCAAACACGGACAGCGTTCACTTTTTGAGCTACTGTTCCCCGGTTGTCGTGAAGAGAGGTCAAATCGATTGTATATGTCAAAAGCGTTTGATAAAGTAGACCATGAGTTATTACTACTTAAAATAGTTTTATAGGGTTGTTGTGCAGATTTGTGCAAATTGTTTCAGTTACCTATATGTCGTCCCAACCGTGTTCGAATAGATAATAGTCGCTTAAGAACTTTTTTTTTTCTCTCCACAATTCCGGCGTTTCCCAAGGGTCTATTCTTGGCCCCCTTTTGTTTCTTATCTTTGTAAATTATTTGGAGTCATATGTTGAAAATGCCTAGTTATTGTTTGCAAGTGACATTATACCTTTTTATGAATGGTCATACTCTTGTGGACTGCGAAACTTTACAGAATGTTGTGTCGCGCATAGTTCGGTGGTGTAAAGTGAATAGCTTGTCTCTGAACCCTCTCAAAACAAATGTCTTGTCCCTGCGCAGACGTCGTAATGTATTACATAGCGTGTATTGAAGGGAACTTCAATCAAACGCATCTCTATTGTAAGATACATTGGCGTGATCATAGATAATGAACTGACGTTTACTTCGCATGTGTCCTCTATTGTTGGCAGTGCGACAAAGGTGTTGAGACCGATATCCCGCTTGCGAAGCAATATAAAACCCTGCCTGTATTATTTGTTTATTTTTTTTCGAGTTAAGTAAAGAATTGAATTCAATTTTGTAGCTTGGAATTCCTTATCAGATATGCAGTCAGCAAAAATGTAAAGGCTTCAAAAACGCTTAATACGCATTGTTTACGACCGCTATCTTCAGCGCAGCTTTTATTTTGATTACAACCTTCTTCTTGATAAGTTCTTGCTGAGGCTATTGTCTGACAAAAGAATAGAACGCGACTCGAGGTTTTTTTTTTGCACAAGATTGTAAATTGCATTATACATAATGATTCCCTTTTATCAAATGTCATTATCCATGCACCCCCCCCTCCCCCCCCCCCCCCCCCCGCTTGACTACGAATCACTCTACTTTTTATGTCAGTGCCATCTGCAGATCCTCACCCTTGTCACGCATGCAATCACTGTTCAATCGCTTTGACAACCCGGGTCTTAAGATATTCAGAGATTTTTCTGTTTACCGCAAGCGATTGCCAGGGATAGCTACTTATTAGTGGTGTGTGTTTCGGTTGTTAATTTGGCGTTTATTCGTTCTTTGGGCATCGAAACGAAGACCTTCAGGTTGTTTTTGGACACACGAAAATAAAGATGATCATTATCATTATTATAACTGTAATTTTACAGATGACGACATTGTACCAGACGGTAAGACCTTTCACTTAGTTTGTTTACACCAAATATGTAACGCCAAGTCTACTTATGGTATAATTGGTGAGCACTTAATCTGGGGCGCATTTATTTTGATTACGAGTGCTTTCTAATGTTTCCATTGGTGTATAGCTTAAAACTTTAGTACAATTTTAGAGGTCGAGATTAAAAAATGGTCTCCTCATGCTTACTTGCTTGTACGGCGAGAAATCATTCCACTTACCTTTATTTGAGCGTTGACTAGACTATGCGTAAATCCTTTGTTTTTCTGCTACAATTTCAAAACAGTTGTAGAATTTTTTATATATAAGTATTTTATTTTTAATTATACATTATTTTGCGTTAATTAAGATTGTTTGTGCCACAGCCCTTATCGTAGATGTACGAAAAAAATTAATTAATGCACATTCTTTTTCAGATTTTGATGATTTGTCAGACGGTAAGGTTATTTTTGAGATGACGTTTATTGCTTGCTTGCTCTCTGCTGTCCGTATACCATTTTTTAATTACTTTGAGCAGCAAAGACAATACAGGTACTCGCGGGTCATGGTAGCCGATCGTCACCATTTGGTAAGCTGCGGAACTTGAAACCTTCCCCTTTTTTGAGCGAGTTTAATTACTAACTCAAAATATAAGCTGTGAAATATATATGCTCTTATGTTTTGATATTTACCAGATAATGCTCATAAATCGCCAGAAATGAATGCATTAAGCTCTTGGTGTAAATAAATTAAAGCGTCTTAGGAACTGTGCGATTTTTATATCAGGAAAGATCAGGAGTTACAATTTTTTTATTTATTCCGCTGAAGTTTCGTATTCGCATGAAATATTTTCTTTCACTGTGTTTTATTTGTGAGCTGTCGCGATATAAATTGTTCTATGTGACACAATGTAATGAAAACAATTTTTACTATATTTTATTAAACTTCTTGTACAGAGGAGTGAGAAATTTTTCAAAATTGATTGTACAGAGTTCGTCTTTCATCCCAGTCTCTAGGGGAAGGGCTTATCTGGACAAGTTTCAACGAATTTTAATAGACCAAGAGGTTCCCAGGAAAGTCGAGGCACAGATTATGAAAGGTAACCGGTTCAATCTGATTTTTAAGTTGCCTATATGTTTCACATTCACCAGCTAATAACTTGTTTTGTTAAGTGCAGCGGAAGCATGGAAGGGTATTTCAAGCATGGCAAAGCTTCGCAGGCTTCACATAGTAAGAATGAGTAAGCATTTCTAATGTTGATCTTGCTTTTTTTTAAGCTAAAACATTCAGACATGAACAGCACACGCTCAAGTCGAAATTAGAATTGAAGCCATTTGTGTTACGTCGAGGCTGATTGAAAAATAAAATAGTCAATAAGCAAAATGAAAGTCTACTAGAGCTGCAAATATCGTGAAAAGAAACGTGGGGCTTGATCTCCTGAATGTTCGAAGCAAGACACAATACAAGTACTCGTGTCAGAAATACCGCGGATACATGGATGTAGACATTTCTAGTCTTTATAAATCATTTGCAAAGTATTTACATACAGTAATTAGTCGAAGACAAACTATAATCAACTGTGTTGGACAGGGTTCTATTTTTGTATCGAGATAAATCTAGTTATGTAAATCACGTTAGAGAAAAAAAAATTTCCTGGCATAGGTGTCAACGGTTTTGAGTATCGTTAGAGTGAAGGTATGTTTTACCCGCAGATTGCTTTAATGTTCCTTCTAATTTATGAAGTCGTTTTCTCTTGCATATAATGGCATACTTTTTGCGGATACACAATTCTTCGGTGACACATTTAATTCTTTTTTTTTGGCCGAGCAGAGGTTCAATGACAGAACATATTTTCTTTGGTTAGAAAATATCTTTCAAATCACTGATATAGGCGATTATAAAAACAGACCTTTTTTTATAAAAGACAGTTCTTTTTCCAAACATTTTGGAGAAGGTAAAGCTTTGCTTGTTTGATGTACATTAAAATTAGAAGACGTCATAAAATTTACGCAGAAAAAAGACGAATATAAATTTAAAAAATAAGCATTTAATCATCTTGGTAGTAAGCAGCTTATACTTGTGTTTGAGTTCTTAGGAATGTGTAATAAAAGGTAAGATTGTCCACATGAAGGAAACTTACCTCGTTTGAAATTGTCAGCCGAGACGGACGTCTCAATTCTAGGAATACAATTGTGAAAAATATTTTATTACAATAATGTCGTTCCAAAAAAAAATGTGTCACCTTAGTGCGCCCGTGCACTTATTTCTAGATTTTTTTAAAAATCTTCATTGCATATACGGCATTCTCTTTATTTTTTTACCAAGCCACAGTGTGTAACGTCTCCAGGGTGAAACAATATTCAACATATAATTATGCCTCAAATGGAAATATTTTTTAATGATTATTTTTGGAAATAATTTCTACAACTTCTGCCACTTCTTTCTTTAACCATGTGTGAAGTGATGCTTCATAAACCTAAAAACAATTGATATTATTATCTCATCTTCTGCCTCGCGCTTTTTGTACTTTTTATACTTTTTGTACCTTTGAACTTTTTCTCAAATGTATGTGTACCCCTCCCTCGCAATAATGCCTTTGTAAGGCGATGCGAGGTATTCTGAATAAATAAATAAATAAATAAGAATGTGCTAGTCTTGCAAAATTTCCTTTTAATTGATGCTGGAATGCCCTGAATTAAGTAAAAAATACAACGTGGCTCCTCCAAAAACAAGAAAAAAGTTTTGTTTTCCAATTTTTTAAAAATAAATTATGCGTCATTGAACGCTTCTTCTCGGCCCAAATGTAGCGCTAGCGTTCCGAACCAGATGCCAAGGTGTGAGATCTATCTCTATCATTAAAGAAAGAGTAAGTAGTAAAGAGGCGAGCTAATTAATTACAAACGTATTTTGAAAAAATAAAAATATATTCAGCCTTTCCACTCTGCTGAAGAAGGAAAACCAGCGAAGTTGTACAATGGTTGGAATGAAGTAATGGTCGGCCGCAAGTCGGCAATCCAGAGTGTAAAGGCTAGACAGCTACCGCCATCTATGAGCGACGGCGGCAACCAAAGGCTGGCAGGTTGCCGTTGTCTCTCATAGATGGCGGTAGTTGTCCAGAGTTTTGTGTCGACATTTATTTGGTGACGGACACGAAACTGGGGAAACTAGCGCCTAACAGCTCCGTTGTAAAAAAGGAAACGGAGACGACGGACAAGTAAAGAGACAAATACAAAACGTTCTGTGCTTGTCTCCTTGTCCGCTCGTCGTCTCCGTTTTTTTTTTTTAATGTGTGTATCTATCGAATGTTTGAAGTGATCTGAAAATTTCAATGGGAGAATGGGGCCCGTTTTTCGACCGTTTTCGGTAACTGGCGCATTCAGCTCCATGTGCTTGAGAGCTCCGCCGGCCACCATTTTCTCATTGAAACGTTTAGAAAATCACATAACTTTTTATTGAGGCTAATGATTAGTTCTAAACTTTTTGACTTCGGTCGCACCGCTAGCGCTACATTCGGAGTGGAGAGCTCGACAATGCATTGCTTATTTGTGTAGTAAAAAACACTACGCGTTTCAGGGGTACACCCTGCAGATTAACTATGAGCATGTGTGATACCCTATTTTTTATCCTAGCAGCGTTGTATTCAGATGAAGTGAGAAGTAAGCACCGCAGATTGGTGACAAAGATTTTTTTTTATTCCTCGCTCTTATTTTTGAACATCATTAAAAATGTTGAACGTGTTTCTTCTACATCTGCATCATATGAATTATTATAGTCTGCATTATATGAATTCTAGGCTGCATTATATGAATTATTATAGGCCGTAGAGTGTCCTGGAATATATCTCTTTTTGTTTGGATGAACGAAAAACTAGGTCGCATAACCATGCAAACTAAATTATTTATAGTAACCGACAATTTAAGAAACGCAGGGTGTGGCGAGTTCCGTGCATCTCATTATCGGTTCGCAGCCAATGAGGTTGCCGCATCAGCCGATAAGAGCCTCAAAGAGCCAATCGGAATGCGAGAAAGCGTGAACAAAAATAAGCTATGCCCCGCTTTTTTTTAGACTGCCGGTGACCACAGCTGCTATTTGTTTCCCCCAGTTGAATCATACATATTTGTTTTTCTTCTTTCTGCTAAACTTAGCATAATTCTCAGTTTTTTTTTTTTTTTTTTTTTTTTTTTTAATTGCGTTTGCAGATTCTAGAAACCGTTACCTGCGCTTCGGCAAAGCGTTCTGCCGGTTCATGCAGAAAATGGCACCCATACTGAAGTCCAAGATGGCGAAATTCAACGACGAAGATCGGGCTCTCGTAGTTCAGAAACTGATCTCTCTAGTCGGTGAGCGGGCCTTTCTTTTTAATGCGAAAGTATTAACTGTCTCATGGAGCAAGCCGACGTCATCAGTTTTGAAACCATGCAAAACGGCACCTTCATGAAACCACGCGCAAAGCTAGCCAACGGCACCTTTTACACTTCGGTCCCATTGGCTGGCGCGCGTCGACGAGGCTCCCATTGGCCGCTGCGCACCAGCTGGTGTGTTGTCATCCTGACTGTGTTATCAAACGGTTGTGTTAGCACTGATCACCGCGTTCGCTCAGTTTTTATCGCTTGTACGGTGTGTGACAATATGTACGGCGCATGAGATAACCCAAGGGGTTCGTTCTACTGGGAACTATAGACCAGTGTCCGATATCCTAGCCCCCAGCGATAAAAATGGGAGATAATAATCTCAAACGCAGGCTCTTGTAAAGAGGGGGGGCTGCGCATAAAACAATATTTTTGCTTTTTACAACGCTCTTGGCGTCGGTGCGGTTCTTGGAGCTTCGTGACTGTGCATTTCTTACCTTCTTGCACTATACTTCGTTTCACCTTATGTCCGAGCGCGGACGATGTTATGAGCCGAAGGGCCAATCAAACAGCGCAAAAAGCGCAACGTCATGGCGTGCTTCCTGCGCTTGAGAGGACTAGCCGGCGGAGGAGCACGCAAAGATGGACGGCGAATACCGGCTATTCCTATCAACTGCAGAGATCACACCATGACGTTGTGCCTTTTTCGCTGTTTGATTGGCCCTTCGGCTCATAACGTCGGCCGCGCTCGGGCCTAGGCTGAAACGAAGTATACGATATGGGCAAAGGTTTCTAAAAGAAACTGAGCCTTTCAAAAAACGCAGCGCCCCTTCTGTGTCATGACGTCAGCATAAACGAAAATGGCGGCGCCCATGGAACAGAGCAGACACTGGTCTATACGTTGCTGTTTGTTTCTTCCTCGCGCCGCAAGGCACACGACAGTTTGAACGATCGCTCACCCGATGGCGCTGCGTGTCCGAGAAGCAGCGGCTCCACCGTTCCACGCTCAAGGTCAGCGCGTTGTACGCCGCAGATTAACGAAGGGAGCGAAGTGTTGCGTGCGTGCTTTCGCATCCACAACTCATAAGAAGTGCTTAAGTGTACCTCGAGCCTTTCTTGAAATACTTTTTATTCGTAAAGAATTGTACTCAGCCGTGTAACTAGGGTCAGAGCTTAAAATACGCGGCGACGCCTATTATATGATCACGCTTCTTGCTTTGCGATTTGTTCTGGAACGTTCTTATCGGCCGTTGCTACAATCTGATTAGCTGAGAAACGATAATGATTTTCTGGGAATTCCCTACGTACCGTGCTTCTTATACCCCTCTCACGCGGATAGCCGAACCGTGGTTAAGCTTAACCGCGGTTATGAGGGTTAACTGCGGTTATTGTTAAACGTCTTGACGAAATTTGAGATCAGTCTGTCAACCTCGGCAGCTGAAGTCAGTTTAGCCAGTACAACAGCCGGACCAATTCACCCCTTTTTCGGTATTGTGCTTCGTTGTTTTTTGGCTCGCTTGTGGTCGATTACTTTGTGTGTGAATGTCGAATTTCGTGGTTATCACAAGGGCTGCACTAAAGAGCCTTACAACGTGTTGGCGTTTCGGCAATCGTGCAGTTGCCTTTATGTTTCGAAGGCGAACGCCTTGGTGTTGTGGCATGATAGATCTGAGGAAGATAGTGACGGACGTTGCGAGTTCAAGAAGCGATGCTTGCAAGCATCGCTTCCGCAGCAGCGTGTTTAGCAGCTCAGAATCTTCGCCGATGTGGAAGTGCTCCTGTCGACACTACTGACATGGGTGCCGCCATCTTGTCCAATTCACGGTTAGCGTGCTCAAACCGAGGTTGCCAAGCACGGTTTTCGGTTACCGTGGTTTTTTAC